AATTACCCCTTGATTTAATTTCCTAAATAGAAAATGCCATTGACAATTACTGGGGCCTAATAATTGATAATTAAGTAAATATCTGCTGCCATGTATACTGTTTATAGTTTACCTATACACATGGTTTGCATACTCCTCCTACAAACTGCTTCATAACTAGTGAACACATGTTGGCCTTGTTTGCCAGTTGAATAAAAAATTATTTATTAAGATTCGGAGGCCCCCTAAAAGATGGGACCCGGGGCGGACCGCCCCTTCCGCCCCCCCCCCCCCTTAGTCCGCCACTGACTTTTACACTGGACGCGCGTTTCGCTAACCATGTTAGTTGTGATGTTAGCATCATCAGCAGATGTTTAAAAACTAACGAAAATATATATCAGATTAAGTATTAAAAAAATAAATTAATGGATTATATGCGGTATTATTCTATAAAATATTGTAAAGGATCATTAAAAATAGCAACAAGTTGCTGTTTGTTAGAAATGCAGTGAAGCGATAGCCATCAATAAGTCATTTATTTGAATTTAATCACAGACATTCAAAAAAGCCATTACAAACAACATTAAAGTTGTTAGAAAAATTAATATGAACTCTAAATGGATATTTAAATTACAGATAAATCAATTCTATAAGTGAATGATTGATAATAACTCTCTAATGACACAAAAAGAAAGTTATACTTACCTAGAAATAATTTATTAGGTCAAAATTTTGCTTCTAATTTATTTTTATTTTTTATATTACTTTTTAATTACATCATGTAATATGTATTAAAAAACTTTCAGCATTCAGCACATTTTTAAAGCTTCATATAAAACTTCTGCATTAAAAATCCCAGTTAGTACAAAAACTGACTAACTCCTGACACCGTAATAATTAATATTTTGCCGTATATATTTTTTTATTCCGAGCAGAGTTGAAAGTCCAAAAGCTCTCATTTTGTTGTCGAACTCTGTCCAACTAAAAAGTTAACTTTAAACACACAATATAATTATCCGTAACTCTCATAAAGCTTACGGGAACGCTTCAAACTAAAGTTTAATAGTAGTACCTTTGAATGGTGGATGTATATAATATATAACTTTTAGAGAGATGGTTGTAAATTATTCGGCTGAATTAGTGGGTTTTAGTGGATATTAGTTCATTTAAAATTGTAATACAATAATTAAACGTATTCATTTTTATTAAAAAAATATAATAAATAATATTTATTATTACAATAACTAAGTGCATCGGGATGATTTTTTTAAATGGAACACCCTGCATATTATTTCATTTTTGGCCTCTTTTTAGACCAGTTTACATAATCCTAAGATATGAGTAAATATATGTCGGTAGTTTCAGAGATATTATTAAATAAATAAAAAATATATTTTTTCGGCCTTTCTTAAAAAAATATTAAAAATACAAGAACTGTCCTGAAATCAAAATTATAGGTATTTACTTTAGATCGTCTATACTTACTTTTCTATAAATAACGTAATCTTAAATCATACAGGGCAACCTTGGTAGATGACCTCCTCAACGAACTGTCCACACAAGGTTTTTATTGCCTAGGATATGCAGACGACATCGTAATTGTGGTCAGGGGCAAGTTTGCTGGTATGATATCAGAAAGAATTCAGACAGCCCTAAACAAAGTTGACAAGTGGTGCAAACACGAGAGACTGACAGTCAATGCTCAGAAAACACAAATTGTCAATTTTACAAAAAAGATAGCACCAAAAGGCCTAAAACCACCAGTGCTAGAAGAAACGGAGATTTCATTTGCCAAAGAAACAAAGTATCTTGGGATATTTTTTGATCAAAGGCTTACATGGAATACTCACATAGCGAAAGCAACACAGAGGGCTGCCATCTCTTTAGGTAGGTGCAGAAGGATGTGTGGAAAAACTGGGACTTAACCCTAAAATGACTCTATGGCTATACACAAGGGTAGTAAGACCCATGATAACCTACGAGTCGGTGGCGTGGTGGACAAAGACATCGCAAGTGGGTACGGTAAGGCTGTTAAGTTCCACACAAAGGCTTGCGTGCCTGTGTGTAACTGGGGCCATAAAAACCACTCCTACAAATGCGATGGAAGTCTTGTTGAATTTACCACCACTACATATTTTCATACAAGGCGAAGCCAGCCTCTCATGCACAGGTTAATTCACGGTCAGCAGCACATAAGCCAAACGCATAGTGCTGCAAACCAGAAGCTAATCCAAGAGCTAAAAGCAGACAAAGTATTGGGATTACCAATTGATGCAACAGCTACTAGGTACAGCTTCAACAACAAATTTAATATAACCATACCAGGAAGGGAAGACTGGAGTAAAGGTGTACCCATTCAAGCTGAGGCAACCTGGTATACAGACGGCTCAAAAACGTCAGAAGGCGTAGGAGCTGGGATAGTAGGGCCGAAACAAGGGAGATCCTTCCACGTAAGCCTATCCAAGGATGTCACAAATTTCCGGTTATTATCTTGTCCCAGAAATAACGACAATCCACTATTGTGTAGAAGAAATAATAAAGCAACAAAGAACAAATCGTTCTGTGGCCATCTTCACAGACAGCCAAGCGGCGTTAAAGGCACTCAGCTCCGCGGAGGTCAGTTCTAGACTAGTGTGGGACTGTGTGCGTGCTCTGAATACTTTGGGCGAACGTGGCACTGTTACGTTGGCCTGGGTGCCAGGGCACGAGGGTCAGAAGGGTAACGAAAACAATGAACTAGTGGAACTAAGTTTTTTGGTGGTAACGCTTGCGAATTGTGAGCTACTGCCTAACCAGGCTGCAAATGTGGTGCCTTGTGCCTCGTTTGCTTCCCTTTTTCTTTTTTCAGGATCACTAGTTCATCGTTGCTGATTCCTCCCGTATTGATGAAGCTGGAAGGCAGAAAAACTGAGTGTCTATGGGTAGTCATGTTTTCGTCATGTCTCATGGCTAATCTTGCTGTAGGCTTGCCCGATAAATTCTTCGTTCTTTTTTTTACAATTCCCACGATGGCATGTTTTGTTTATATATTTTTATTTATTTATTAATATCTCTGAAATTATCGAAATATATTTACTCGTATCTTGGGATTATGTAAAGTGATCTGAGAGGCAGTCAAAAATGCAATAATATACAGCGTATTCTATTTAAAACCGATCCACTCACTCTTTTTTGAGCCACCTATAGAAGTTAAAATATTTTTCTGAAATACATCCTATTAGGTTTGCACTTAAACCAAATTTTCTAGTTTTTTATTCTGGGAGTTACAGATATCCGACGCACTATTGCCGGATCGTGTGTGTGAACATTAAAAATTGAGTGTGAACATTAAAAATTCATAATGAATATTGTCCCCAACCATATTATAATTTTCAACAAATAAAATCGCGTTTTTTCTCCTGGAACAGACATCACACAACCTGCAAAAAAGCTGGATTTAAAGAGTTCATTTCTACATTCGGAGCGAATCCAGTTGTTGAGATATACAAGCGGGCAAATAAAAAGAATTCGCCATGAAAGCGGGCTGGGAAAAAAGAGCAGCATCGGATGTGTGCTGCGGCCATTATGCTACACAGAGAACGCAAAAAAAAATAAACAGGTTACTTTTTGAAATAATTTGTCGAAAACAAAAGCGTTCAGTTTACGTCACTTTCAAACAGTATTGCCGCGGTTTTTTTCAGGTTTTCAGGAAGAAATTTATTTCCTTTTTTTTTTGTTCTAAACGCTTGGGCTTGGTAACTGTTTTTAATTTATTATGCGTTAATTTTCAAAAGAAAGGGACTCTTTTTGTGACGTATAACAGGTCATACAGTGTATCAGTGTGCGTAATTTTTCAGTTCTATTTAGCAGTATTATATTCCAAGGTTTGGAGAACAAAAAAATTATTTCAAATTTTTTTGTTGTAGGTATATGCTTTTTGATAATTCTTTCAGTTTATTATATGGAGCGAGCAACAATGAGTGAATTATCAGTAGTTGGCTATTCTAATTTCGCTCGTTTGGTTGGGCTATAAATTTAGGAAATTTGTATTTTTATCGCCTGTTATCACAGGCTTCAAAACAAACCAAGAATTCTATAACATTATTAATTTTTAAGACTAATCAAAACGAGATGAGAAATAAATAGATTTGATCTGAAGGTTTTCTAATTTATTTACTGAATAAGGGTATTTAAAAAATTTTGACAATAAAAGGTATATTAAGGTGTCATAAACTAGTTTCATACCAAAGAATGTACGTTAGAAAGTGTCCAATATAGAATATAGGATTGGTGCATTTCAGTTGATTTTAAAAAATTCCGACCGCAGCGCTGTATATGGCAGAAATCAGAAATGTTCGCTATGTATTTCAGTTCTGTCCCGGTAACAGTTCATGTTGATCGCATTAAAATAATTTATTAATTATTAAAAATAATTAAAAAAATAAACACTTTTAGAATAATTATATAATACATTTCTTGTATACTCGTTATTTAAACCCGTGTAATGGTATATATTAGTTGTTTACAATATTCTCCGATGGTGGCAGCACCGGCGAAGAATGCACCAAGCCTATAATCGAATGCTCGATTAACATTAGGATGATTTAGTAATCTGTCAGTCTACAAAAACTGCGTTATGTAAGAATACAAAAAAATATTAATTATTTAATAAGAAACCGTTGTAGAAATCAGTTGTTGCTATTAAAGAATTGTCTATTTTCCACTAAATCCCATTATTATTTGAGAGACTTACACTTGTAGGAAGTATTCATTTTCCATCCTGAACCACAGCCTGAACATTATAGTTGTATTGAAAAACAATAATTTATGAGGTTGAGAATCAACTGGTTTAAGAATATTAAAAAAAATAATTAATACCGAAGTGAATTATTTCAATATTGCAAGAAATATAATAAGCATTTTTATGCAATTTGTGGTTAAAACAAAACTTTTAATGGCTTTTTCTCCGTGGCTGTTGACAAGATGTTTTTAAAACCCTTCCTGGCGGTCTGGCATTCTCACATATATTTTCCTTGTTCCAGATCCACCGGAAATAACTGTGGAACGTCCGGTTGTTTACTCGGGGGAAGGCCTGGAAGCCCAACTAGTTTGCATCGTGCACGGGGAAAGCCAACCTGAGGTAAGTCACACCCAATAAAATAATATGCTTTATAAATGAAATTCAGGTCATGCTCAAAATATTAAATAAAATATTTCTGTTATTTTTAACTTAATAATAATAAATTATCATCATTTTTCTCAGCAAGACTGCATTTTTCTCGCAACCTAACTAGCATTAAGCTTCATTTAGAAATTCGAAATTAGTGGAATAAATTAGTGGTTTCAATTAGCGTAGAAGTTTGTTCTTCTAATTTTAATGTAAGCGTTTAGAACCTCAAAATTAGTGGTAGTAATTTTCAATCAGTAGAAAAAGTTAACAAACATTTAACTTTTGCTACTAATTATGCATCAAAATTTGTGGATAATGTCATTTTGGCCTTTGATTTATCATCCGTCAAAAGAAATTGTGGTTAGAAATGAAAAGTGTATTATATTATAACATAATTATTAGGCTCTCTCTATGGATAAAAGTGACTACCGTAGGATATTGTACTAATTTTAATTGTATCTTTGAGACTTAAATATACACTAAATTTATTCTACTAATTTGGATTATCTGAATGAGGCTTTAAGCTTCACTCAGAATATCGAAATTAGTGGAATAAATTAGCGGTTTCAATTAGCGTAGAAATTTGTTCCTCTAATTTCAATGTAAGCAGTCAGAATGTCAAAATTAGTGGTACTAAGTTTTAACTAGCAGAAAAAGTTAACAAACTTTTAACTTTTGCCACTAATTATACTTCAAATACTTATAATAAATATATTGTAAATGACTATTTTTCGCAAGAAAAGGAAGTAAATGTGTAGGTTCATGTCCATACGTGGATTTATTGAAGAACTGCCACTGAGTAGAGACTAATTATTTTTCTATTTGATGATAAATAAATGGCTAAATAGCTATAATATATATCATGGATGATTTAATATAATTTGTGAGGTGGCCTTCTCATTTACTAGACAATCGTTACAAAAGCGAAAATAATAAATTATACACCCTAACGAAGACACTTTGACCTTAACTAAAAATTAAACCGTCCCTAAAACGGAAGGATAATAATAGTTCTTGTACATGATTACTTAACTTGTAAGGGTTTGTGTATAACGAGCCGGACACTAGTAGCCCTAAATAAATTAAAATCGTAGCAGGTCTGGACAGGGTTGTAATCAGTGAAAATTGGAAACAAAGAACATATGTTATTTATAACCTTATATGTAATGAGATGAATCGCCTATTTAAAAATAGACATATTTCTTTAAATTCAAAACATTCATTTTTAAGACACTCTGTATACAGAAATAAAATTATTGATTTTTAAAATATGATTCGCAAAAGTAGGAAGGGGGAACATCAATCAAAATTGATGTTATTTTTGGGTTCTTGAGTTTTGTGACAAAGAATGTAATAAAAGATAAAGTAAATATTTTTTCATTATTTAGGTCTGTTCCCAGAAGAATCCCTGACTAAGTCAGCACGTTTCTCATTGGTTAAAATGCGTAGAAACCTGATTGTTAGTGAGGTTTCTATGCATTTCAACCAATAAGAAACGCGCTGACTAGTCAGGGATTCTTCTGGGAACAGACCTTAAAGCATATATTTTATTTTTCTGTTCTAATATTCTGTATTAAAGTTTTCCTTGTTTATTTCATCTGAGAATTATATCATATAACATGTGTATGTATTTAATGGAATCTATTTATGCTGTAAATAATTTCAGTTTAAAAGTAATCTAAATAAAATCGTTTACTGTCCATTCATGCAGATGTTTGTGGTTCGAGGTGAGAACAAGGGCCTTGTTGAATGTACTAATACTTTTCGACCGTGACTGGGCGAATATCTTTGCTCGCAGAGGGCAACTAAAAGCAATAAATATAATATTAAGATATTTACACCAAACATCCAACTTTAGCTTCGAGATCCGAAACCAGGACCTTAGTACCTGCGGGCGGCGACCTGCTAACTAACCAAAAACTCTTCAGTTTTGCATGATATAAATGTGGCATGTTTTGAATGTATGAAACTACAAACCTTGGTATGAGGACAGTTTTATATTATTATTATTTCTCTTTTATTAAAGTTCAGGACAGCATAGTTAGATTCTCTGGAATAGTGATCACGGTTTTCTCTGCCGTGCTCTTTTACATGTGAATTCCAGGCAGAGTACGACACTCCTTTCATTTCATTTAATAAAATAAGTAGGGCTATTTACAAATTTAGCGTTTTATTTACATAACCTATTCTCCTCAAATTTTCCAAATTATTGCTTCTGTTGAGGCGCATCCGAGGTAATCACAATAAAAAAATATTTAACACAACGTAGGTTCCTTTCTTTCATTTAAATTTCTTGTTATACAATTGGCCAAAATATTACCTCTTCAATTTTGTTGACGAATTTGGGTTGTTACACTACAGTAATATTGTTGATATAACTGACTTTTTAAAATTTTCAAAGATTACATTATTTCATCTTATCAAGTGGATGCAGGTTTCTGATTTCATTAACTACATGTGTTCCATATATCTAGCTCAATCTGTATCAAGGAAGTTGTTCTTGTAGACTCTGAGATAAGAATACTGAAACATCAGAGCACATGCAATTTTTATTTGAGAAAACAAGGCGAGAACTAGAGAAACATTGCTCCCATCCTAATCTTGACCACTTGGAATGTGTGACTGTTATTTCCATTAATAAAATGATTCACTTTAATAAATGTCAATGTTATTAATTAATTTCGGGAGACGATAATGCAATTTTATCGTCGCGAGTTACGTTTTAAAAAATATTCAGAAATTATTATTTCAAGGAATTTATTACGAGTAGAAAAAATTGGCGCTGGGAGGCACATATAGCCGCCCATACTAAAATATGTTAATAAAAAGTTGGTAGGCAGTTCTTTTAGTTTCAAAGTAAAGGAATTTTTCCAATTTTGGTCCGCGATTATTTCCCCTATCCGCCACCTGGGGTCGCATCCGATGGGAGTTTGGAGTTCTCCACTCGGATTTTCTCAAAAACCGACTACGGAAACACGAAATATCTCAAAAACTGCGACTTTGACTGATTTTGATGTTATTACAAATTTTGTTGCAAATATTATTCCTAATCTTAAATTGAAAACCGCGTTTCGCTAGCTACTGTAAATCTGGAGTTACGATTTTTTAAAATTTTTAACCTCCTCCCATACCCCCTCCATAACCCCCTCCCATACCCCCTTACCAACCCTCCACCCCCACCAAAAACTAATGGCCAGATTCTCGGGTGCGATAATATTTTTGTGCCAAATTTGGTTAAAACCGGTTTAGCGGTTTTTGAGTTATCGTGTGACAGACGGACAGACAGACAGACAGACCGACACCATGAAAATATTTTGTATTTAGGTCATTTATGACCCAAATAACTCATTTTGAGTGAAATTAAAAAACTTTTTTTTGCCGATCTTAATAGCCTACCATACCTGTTGGTATAAAAATATTGTGCTGGGTTGGAGTTGGCAGGAGTTGGTTTCTATGTAATTTGATAAATAAATAAAACTGTCTCTCTAGTTGTCAGTTTTGAGTCAATATTCTTTAATTCTCTTTCGTGTCGATTGCTGATTGAATTGGAGCCAGAAATGGCTCAAAACGAAATAAGTAAATCACCAACAGATATTCAGGCTGGGGCGACAAACGCCATATCCAAACTACTTCCATTTAAATCCCGAATAAATTATGAAAAGGAATACAAGAATTTCCAAAAATGGAAGCAATGTGTCTTTCTTCTCGCAAACGTGGGAGAAGAAAGATCAAGTGAAAACATACTTTTAGCATATTGTTCTGAAAAATCAAAGAAAATGCAACCGTCTAGTTTATGGTCGTACTATTCAATGCTAAAAAGTACAATACTGGTCAATGAAAACATTGATATTTCAAGGTACTATACCGTTTAAATTTCCCGCGTCGTATAGTAACATCTAAACTTTGTAGATATAACAAGCTCATAGCTTTCTTGAAGCAGTCAAGTAGCGGTTACAAACCGAAAAAGTCAAAAATTTTAAACCCAGAAGATGTCGTGAAATTTGTTTGCACTGCTTTTTTTGCATTTAATCTACCCTTGCGGTTAAAGTACTATTTTATCTACTATTTTTGATAGATATAAAGTAATTTTAATAGCTGCTATGGAAAAGTTGTCATTTAATGTCACCATCCGAACAAACTATTATACATATATTCACCTACTGGGAAAATAAATACAAAAAAAATTTACTGCTTCCTGGACTATTACAGTTATTTTTTTTCAATCAAAAAATGAGTTTCACTTCCTTTACGATATTGTCTCTAGTTTTTAATAATATGTAGAGTAAAAAAAAGAAAAAGTGCGTTTTGATCAGTCAAACAATGCTATTAACTCACTGTTCTATCAATGTTCACAAAAATAGAACAGAAAAACGTGTAAAACGCGAGAGAGGACAATTCCAAACACAGTCATCCGTAAAAATTGCACGTCGACTGCCGCAAAGCGGTCAAAAATAGGCGTTTTGCGTCAAACTGACCGGCCAGTCAATGGAAATTAGGCCTAGTTGTCGACGACAATTGCCCCTAAGTGCTGTCCATCGATTTAACATTCGGACCATCCGCTTATTAATATTTTCTCATATTCTGTCCGTTCTAGTTAATGAGACGAAACGATGTTAAAGGCAACGACAAGCTTATTTCATGAATATTTCCCAATGATGTTAGATTAGTTGGTTGGGCATATTAAATTGATGTTATTGATGGGTAATATACAGAGGCTAATCGAAAATTTGCATTATTTATTACGTATAAATATTTGATATATGTATATAAATATCTACTGTCATATATTTAATAAAATATTGGTATACTATTAAATTAATCATAGATTTTTTTATAAAATAATATGATAAAACAGTTTCTGTTGAGCCTTTGGCACAAAAACAGTTCCAAATGTATTATTTCATTTAGTCTTTTTAATACCTAGCTAGTCACTTTTAATCTTTGACGATGATGTCATGTAATAAATATTT